TTCAAAGTTAATTACTTTAATAATCAGCTGATTTTTGGATTTTTGCTTGGCAATTTTTTAGTACGAATTGATTTTGAATTGCCGAACATTATATTGTAATTTGATTTTGAATTGTTGAATATTAAGTTGAAGTTATTAAAATTACATATTATGTTTATATTTAAAATTTGTTTTTATATATAAATGAGCATGAAATTAAATAAAATTATAATATTTTTTAAATTAAATTCCAATAATATCTTGTGGACAGAGAGTAGAAGTTGTACTTTAAAATTAAATTATAAATTTAATATAGTATAATAAGTGCTGATGAATTTATTGAATTTTGCATTTCTAAATTAATTTTTTTTTGGAAAAAAATTATTCAATAAAGAAATTATTCTTGTGAAACAATTCAATTTACATATATACATACAGCTACATATTAAGGTATTATTATATAAGTAGATATATCTCCAACCATATACTATTTATGTTTGTTTGTTTATTTATTTATAAGATATTTATAATTTGTGTCAGTATAGTTCATTGATCCCTATTTTTTTATATATAAATTAATTATAATTATTATTTTTAATTTGATTTACGCAATTTCATATGAAATAATTTAATATGTAACAATTTAATATGTGCATGTATGTGTAAATACTCCTGTGTATTTGAATATTAATAAAATATGATAAGTGAATTTATGTACATATGTATGTATATAAGAACTTACGAAAAATTTATGTAAATAAATTAAAAATATTTTGTAGTTTTCTGAATAATTTTTTTTCAAATATTAATTAACATTTAGCAAATTCTTCTTTTAATATCATTAACATTTTACAATAACATTTTAACATTTATACAATAAGTTCATTAACATTTTACTCAAAGATAAAAACAATTGATTACATCTCTTTGAGCATAATATAATAATTCTCTTAAAAGATTTGTTATTCTATGTTATTATTATTGCAAATATTCTCATCTCATAAATGATTACAAGGAATAGTGTTGAAAACTTTCATAAATATTCTTACTGTCATGCAAATACTGGAATTACATGTACATACCTGTAATGAAATTAATGAAAACGTGCTGCTACAGTTTTTCTTTACATGTTAAAACTAGTTTATTTCTTGTCTGTGCTTATATATGTATATCTATGCATTTATAAATGACTTTAAAAACATAAGTACATTTATGTATGTATGTACATTATGTATTTGCTGCAAAATGTATTTTAATTTATACATATATATTTTAATTTAAATAAATAAATAAATTAAAATATGGCTATAAATTAAATTATAGAAAAAATTTACTATTAATAATTATGCTTTTTAATTTTTTTTTTTAAAGTTATACAAATTGACATTTATGCGGATTATACATCCAATTAATTCGTATTACATACACGTACGTGCATATGTATAATTGCTAATTATTACAGTTTTATAATTATTTGTAACGCCATCACACAATATTCTAACTAAATTTATAAAACTAGCTTTTATAATAAGGTTTTTCAAACTTTATTTTTTTATAGAAAAAATCTTTGTTAATTCTTAAGCCTTTTAAATTTACGTATTTGACAACTGTGGGAATTTATGAAACTATGTGTAAAACACCTTAATTTTGTTGATGGTTGTTAAAAATAGCTGTCAATTAATGTGTGTTAACAGTAAATGATTTTTTTTTCAACAGTAAACAATTGAAAATCTTAATTTTAAATTTTAATCGAAAATGAACTCAATTTTTCTTCGTATATGTATGTCCAATGTTTCCTATATTGTTTTTCTTAAAGATTTCTATATAATTTTAATAAAATCCTAAAAACCTTAAGAAATTTTGATAAGTAAACCATTTTTTACAAAAATACAATTTTAAATAAATAAATGTATGTATGTAAATATGTGTGGATGCCTGAAAATGTGTGTAAAGGAAATGAAATCTCACATTTAGTTTTGCATTAAATTAAATATTAATGCTAAAGCACTCCATTGAGCAGTATTATTTGGGAAACACTTTAATTTAACCACACGCATTTTACATTTCTTTTTTTTATCCTTTAAGAATAATTCTTATGCGTTTATAGTGTTTATACACTTGTCTCATTTACAATTTTAATTTTCTCCTTTTTTTCATTTTTTTTAATAAAGGTATGTGTGTTGAAATGTTTGTATGTATATATTGTACTTTTATATTTTTATAATGTATTCTATTTTTATATTCCATTCATTATGGCTATAATGGTGTTTAGTGTTATTTTTTTATTGTTGTTTTCTTCTTTTGTTTTTTTTTTTTTTTTTATATAGATTAATATTATTTTCAATCAAAATGCAAGAAATGAAAAAAAAAAATTAAAACTCAGACAACAGACATTCGTCAGTTTGGTTGTTAAAAAGTTGAGTTTTAAATAAATCATTTATTATACAACAGGGTGTTGTTTTTAATTTAAAAAAAATTTAAAATCACAATTAGTATTTGAATAGTATTTGTTTTTGGAATAGTAACAATTGGAAGCAATGATTAAAAAACCTGACGATCATTAATTAATTATCAAAATATTTGTTTAAACATTTGTCAACGACAATTGGACTGAAGACTTAAAGGAAAATGTAGAATTTTGGAAATTTATTTATGATGTTTATAATATTTTCTTAATTTTATTATAGTAACATTTGTAGATGATATCATTGAATATCCTTCGATACTAAGTCACAGTAGTAATTTATGGTTTCCAAAATACAATAATGAAACGCTTTATTGTAAGTGAAGTGAAAGGATTAACTTGCGGTGAAGTTGCCATATGAATGCCATATTATTAATCAGTATTGAAAAGCCTTTTATTTCAAAGATTTTAATCCGAATTTCATTGATTATATTAAATTAATTACTACAAATTTTATTCAAGTTCCTTCCTAATTCCTGCTTTTAATAAAAAAAAAATTTAATCTTTACAGACAAATATTCGATAAGCTTACCCCAATGATCTGTTGCTTCGAAAAAATATAATGAAATACATATATGTATGTATAATAGAATGAAAATAAAATGAAAAACATTAATTATGACAAGTGGCTTAAATTTACATTTGAATATTCTGCAAAATTTGCTCATTTCATGACAAACAGGACATGCTAAATTTTAAGTGGCTAGCTAACGCTCTATAAATTTTATGAATTCAGTATTTGAAATCAAGTATGTAACTAAGTTGAATTACTTAGCTTGATGTAAGACTGTAAGACTTTGTTATTTAAAGACCCTGTTAGGGTTGAGAAACTACATTATTATGTATATGTTTTGTACTGAAAATGACTGCTCCAGAAATATATGTATGTACATATGTACATACATACATATATACATAATATGTATGTAAATAATGAGAAAAGATAAAAAAGTCTTCTTTAATTTTCCTATTTGCTTCCTTCTTTTGTTTTTTCTTTTCTTTTCTTCTTATATGATGCGCTTCGGTTTTCAAACATATATTTATGTATGTAAAACCATATTCTTCGCAAACATGTTTATAAAAGCCATAATATGTAATAAAAAAGAAAAAGAAAAAAAAACAGGCTTCTATCTTTTTCTTTGTGTTTTTTTTTTTCTCTTTGCTTTTCAATATTCAATAGTGTTGTCTTCTTTTTGTTCTTTATTTAGTGATGAAAAGATTGACATTTTTCTTCCCTTTCTATCAAAATTTTTAACATAAAAATTGTAGTTTTCTTGGCTTTTTTTTTGTTTCTATGATAGTTTTCTAATATTTCAACATCTGTTGCGATACAAATTTTTTTAAAAAGACCAACAAAGATAACGATTTTTAACATTGGAAACTCAATTACTATCCTTATTCGATCTACAGTAGCACATACTGCACGTTTACATACATATGTTTGTAGGTGTATACTCTTATAAATATCAATATCTGGTCAATATAAATATCAAACTGGTCAAGCAGAATTCTAAATACATACATACATAAATGTAAATATGAAATGTACATACATACATATGTTTGTGTGTTTGTATAACATTTTTCTGGCTGGTTTTTTTATAATTGATCTTCTAAATCTAAGGTATTAAAAATTAATTAAATATTTAATTGTTACAAATAGTAAATATGACTTTAGTATTTGGTTTTTTAAGATTTGCTTCTTAGTAACTGTAAAAATAAATCAATTAAAGTAATTGTATTATAAAATACATACATAGATTAAATAGGGCTTAAACTATATGTATATGTATGCTTACATACTTACTTATAATGTAGGTACATAATATTATGTTATATTTGTTAATGGAAAATAACTAATATTTTCACGAAGTTTAATATTTTTAGTGCATTAAATATTCTTAGATTAAAACCAACCCAAAATACAGAATGTAATCAGAATCAACTATGTACATACATACGTACTTACATATGTGTACATGATATTCTGATAGCCGCATCAATTGACGTGATAGTTTGTTATTTAAAAATTTTTGATATCTTGAATAAAACCAATTTCGAAATGTGAAATTTAGTGAAAACCGAAGCACTTTTCAATAACATCCCATCGCATCAAGTGATGCGAGTAGCAGAATATGGACGAGAATACCATTCTTTGTTAATGTCTTACATTGGTCTTTTTATTTCTGTTATATTAATATTTTAATTCAATTAAATTTGTTAAAACTTGTGTAGTAATTTTCGATAATGCACCTAAAAAAAGAAAATAATTTCTCTTAGCCTTCAGTTAACTCGATTGAATAAAGGTCTACCCTGTATACATATTTCCAATTGAAAAACTGTTCAACAACCAAAGAAAAAGTTGGATTCAAAGAATTGATCAGTTTGTTTGTACCTATATCAGTTTACATGCATTAAATGTTTGAATGTAAAAATTATACGGCCATCATTTAAATTGAAAACTTTTGTTAAAATTTCTGTTCAAATTTTTGTAATTATATTTTTTTTAAATAATTTTATTTTACTTACTAAATTTATATTATAATTTTTATTATAGGAGAAATAGATAGATGTCTTAAAAAAGTGACAGAAGGAGTGGAAACATTTGAAGACATTTGGCAAAAAGTACACAATGCGACGAATAGTAATCAAAAGGTTGTCGTAAGCTCTTCTCTAATTTTCATAATAAACAATGTTAGTTTAAATCACTTTCTTTTTTTTAAAAAAACAAATTTTTAGGAAAAATATGAGGCCGACCTTAAGAAGGAAATCAAAAAGTTGCAACGGCTGCGCGATCAGATTAAATCATGGATCGCGTCCGCAGAAATCAAGGACAAAAGTGCACTCTTAGATAATAGGCGACTTATTGAAACTGTAAGATTTTATTAATTTTTTTCAATTTGTTTATAATATCTCTTTACTATATAATGCTCTTGTATATTTTAGCAAATGGAGAGATTTAAAATTGTTGAACGTGAAACAAAAACAAAAGCGTATTCAAAAGAAGGTTTAGGAGCTGCACAAAAATTAGATCCAGCGCAACGGGTTAAAGATGAAATTCGAAATTGGCTTAAAGAATCAATTAGTTCGTTACAAATACAAATTGATCAATATGAAAGTGAAATAGAATCCCTACTAGCAGGCAAAAAGAAAAGATTAGATCGTGATAAACAGGATCGAATGGATGAATTACGTGCAAAATTGGATCGGCATAAATTTCATATTACAAAACTCGAAACATTATTAAGATTATTGGATAATGATGGTGTTGAAGTTAAACAGGTATTTTGTCACAAACTAAATTAATAAAAAAAAAATAATGTTTATAATCTTTTGTGTATAAAAATCTAAAGGTGGCCCGTATAAAAGAAGATGTTGAATATTACATAGAATCCTCGCAGGATCCAGATTTTGAAGAAAATGAATATATGTACGATGAAATTATTGGTCTAGATGAGGTCGAATTATCAGGAACAGGTATATTTCCATATTTTATTCTTAAATTAATTTAATTTAACTATTTCTTTATTTTTGTTATTTAAAAATCAAAGGGATTCCATCTTCTGCGACAACAGACAGTAATAATAGTAATGAAACTGGTGGTTCGCCTAGCAGTTGTGTTTCAGGTGGTAGTCCTGTTCAATCTCCGGCCGCATTAAACTGTAGTAATGCGAACAATCTTAACTACAGCAGTGATTCAACGTCGGTTGAGTTTACATCAGCCGATAAACGTAATAAAAATGAAAATAATGCCAGTAGTAAAGTGAAAGTAAGTTGTATATAAATTGTTATATGTCTACAGTTTTTATATTTTATTTTTCTTTTCTAATTTTAGCAACCTGTTAAACCAACAGCGGTAAGGGCTAATAATAAAGCGGATGCAAATTCAAATTCTTCGTCATCGAACAATTCTAGCTCTGTGCAGTTGACACAGCAGCAGCATACAACACAACCGCAGTCGCTGTCAGTGGCGGCAACAGTTGCGGTGGCCGCAGCGACAACTCAACAAGCCCAACTGCAGCAGCAGCAACAGCAACAAAATAAAAATATAATTAGTTCTACACCTAGTAAAAACCAATCTCATGGTACGAATAATTCATCAATTGGAACTGGTAATAGTACATCAGCAACATCTGCGGTTGCTGCAGTAAATAGCATTAACCAACAGCAGCAGCAACAAAATTCGACTGGTGTGGGTAATCATACATCATCTGCATCATCGAATATTCAGGCTCAATCTGTGATTCAACCTACACAACCAATAATTGCATTTGCAGCTGTAGCGAAAAACAATACATGTAAATATTTTTTCCAAAAACAAATTTATGAATTTTTTGAGTTGACACAAACTTATATTAAATAACAATATTGTTTCAGATTCCTCTTCGACGCATAACAGCACTTCCAATAGTAACAGTATAGGAAATAATAATGCGACATCGATAACGACAGCTGTGGCAAATAGTAATTCATCAAATGTCGTAGGGAATAGTACACTTGTTAATTGTATTTCACCAAATCCATTGACAAATAGTAATAGTGCGGCACGAGCTTCACCAGGACTTGTTTCGCCTAAACAACAACTGGCAAATGGCACACTCCTTAATCATAATAGTAAACAGCCTGGTATTATACCTGTATCAGGTTCAACTACACTTAACTCTAACAACCTTGATGCGATGTCAACGCTTAAAACGATGGCACAAGAGGCCATTAACCGTGCTTCAACAGATTCAACATTACAAGCAGCGCCAACGCCTGCTGATACAAGACAACATCAACAGCAACAACAACAACAGCAGCAGCAACAACAACAGCAACAGAATCAACAGACAGCACCTTCATCTCAGCAACAACAATCGTCTACCCAGCATTTTTCACCAGCCGTTACGGATACAACTGCCAATCAAAATGCAAACGGCCCAACGCAAGCACCACAACAGCAACAGACTGGTACTGCGGCATCAGTTGTTAGCGGTACAGCAAATATATCAGCAGTTGGTGCAACAACAAATGCTGGCTCTTTAGGAGTTGGTGGCGGTACATCACAAGGTAATGTCACCAATGTTAGTGGTAATAAACAGATGCAAGTTGGTACAAATGAAGCATATATTCCACCATTACTTGGTGTCGCTCCATTAGGAACATCGCCATTACATAAAGAGCATCAAATGCAATTCCAAATGATGGAAGCTGCATATTATCATTTGCCCACTCCGAGTGATTCCGAAAAATTAACAACGTATTTACCAAGACAACCTGTACAGACACCAGCCCATTATCCACAGGTAAATTTTAATTAAAATACAAATTTACAATTTTAATCTATTTTTTTTAACGATTTTTACAATTTCAAACTTTTATAATTTTTATTTTAGACTCAACTTCCACATTCGGATACCGTTGAATTTTTCCAACGCTTATCAACCGAAACTCTATTCTTTATATTTTATTATATGGAAGGATCCAAAGCGCAATACTTAGCTGCTAAAGCGCTTAAAAAACAAAGCTGGAGATTTCATACGAAATATATGATGTGGTTTCAACGCCATGAGGAACCAAAAGTAATTAATGATGAATTTGAACAAGTAAGTATTTTCACTGTAATGGATTTCTTTAAAAAAAAAAAGAGGTTCAACAAAACTAAATATTGAAAAAGTTTTCAAATTGAGTGAAAGTTTGCAAGAATGCATAAAAATAATTATTACCGGATTACGACTTTTAATTTGAGGCTAAAATTTATGGCATAATTCTGTGCCATAATGTTTTAAGGCGTAACCATTATTAATGAATGTTATGAAAAACTTTATAAAAATTTTAAGTTCTATACATGCATACATATTTTACGAGGATGGATTATTATTCAAAAGTATTAAGTTTTTCACAGTAGAATTTTAAATTTCCAAATTAATTTTATTCCGAAAATTACAAAGTATTTGAATAATATGATTAATTGATGTGTCTAAAACATATGAATGTATACATATGTTTAATGATTGTGATAGCATCCAACAATTTTTTTGGACAATAAGTACATTGAATAGCATTTTGTAAAATTTTAATTTGATAATTACTTATATTTTTGAATATTTTTTTTTATGTGAAATTTTAAACTATTTTTCTTTTTCATTTTTAGGGTACATATATTTATTTTGATTATGAGAAGTGGGGCCAGCGTAAAAAAGAGGGGTTCACGTTTGAATATCGATTCTTAGAAGACAAGGATCTTAATTGATAAAAATTTGTAAAATACAATATAATAACAATTTTTGAAAAAACATTAAAAAAAAAATTAAAAAAATTGCAAAAATTTATTTAAAAACAAAAACAAGAAAAAATTTTAAAAAAACTTTTAAACAAAAACAAAATGAAGAAGTTAAATATAAAAAATAAAATTAATTAATAAAAAAAAAAAATTTAGTTGTTTTGAATTTGAAAAGTAATTTATAAAATTCTAAAGTATAAAAATATTTAATTTTTGCATTATTCAGTGATAGAAGTGTTTTCTTAAACTTGACGTGAGTTTCTCGACATTATGAGAAGAATTTGTCATCATCATAATTAATTTAAATTGAGTATTTGATGCTCGAATAATTTTATAAGGGCGAGTATAAGTTGCAAATCAATTTAAAACTTTAAACCTTTTGATACTTAATATTGATGTGGAAGGTATGATTGAATTAAAAAAAGATTAATTTATTTTGGAAATTTCTAAAACGTTTTTTTTTTTTTTTTTATTGAAAATCATTCAAATTGCACATAAAAATGTTTTAATTATAAATTTTAATTGGCTTTTCTTTTTCTAATTTATTGTATTAATAATATAAACCAATTACAATATTAAGTTAATATATGTGTACTTTATTACTAAATGGCAGATGTAATGAACATCAGTTTTTCTTTATACATAACATAATTCAAAAAAAATTTTTTGTCTATCTTTCATTTCACAAAGTATAATTAAAATTAACAATAATTTCTAATATTATTATGATATAACATGGTAATTTTCTTTATCATATGGTATACATTTTTCTAAAATTGTAGCCTAAGGTGCATTTATAAATTAAATATAAAAAACAATAAGGGTTTAATAAATTTAATGAAGCAATTAATTTAAGCTAAAATAATTAAATTACATTCCCATTAACCTTATAGAATAATTAATAGCAATAAAATTTATACATTTAAGTATTTAGAAAACGATATTTTTTTATGGAATGAAGGTAAGTAAATATATATAATATGAAAATATTGAATTTAATGAATTTATATTAATGAAATCTCTTAGATGCATCACTTGATGTAACATTATTCAGATCTTATTCAAAAGAATCACAGTTTTCGGTATAGAATATTAAATCTTGTTATTGATTTTATTCTGAAAATTAGAAAAATTTTGAATAATATCTCATCTATGCAAGTGAATCTATGAGAATATGGGTGTATATATTCTACTATTCTATATAATATATAAAAATTTTTTGTAAAATTATAATATTTATATGAATATAAATAATATTATATTTGTTTTTGTGGACTAATAAGTAAAATTGTTTAATCTTACAAATTTTGCATTTTTTGTTTTCAAAAAAAAAAAAAGAACTTCTTTCTTTTACAATTTCTCTTATTGCTCTAACATTACGTTTTAAATAAATTTATTTAAAAAAAAAATAAAGTTTATAAATGAACTAAAAATAAAAATCAGAAATTTATAAAATATCAAATACATAATTCATGTTTTCAATTAGTTTGAAATTAAAAACATCAAAATTATTAGGAAACAAAAATACATTAAAAGTTATTCATTCCAATTAACTGTCACATCATCATCATCCCAACCGCTTTCAACAGTATCATCCGTAGATTTTAATTCAAATCTACTATTATCAATAACAACATCAGTTAAATGTTTAATTTCTATAATTTCGTTTTGATTTTTTTCGTTGGTCTGGTTATTAATTAAATCTATTTCATTTGCTTCTACAACACTAATATTACTTTTAATAACGGGTTCCATATCTTTGAAAAAATCAAATTCATCAGATTGATCTTTTTTTGAAAGCTTTTTAATTTTAATATCTAAATCATTAATATCATCAGTAACAATCTGGGCTTTAGTCCTTTGTATATTAATATTTTCAATATCTGCTGAATTGATTTTATTTTCGGAAAATTCTGTAAATGGTATTGCCGAATTATTGTCTGATTCGATTTTTTCAATTTCATTTTCAATGTTGTCGCTATTTAAATAATTCGCTGTTTCATTCTCATTTTCGTTATCCCAATCACTCCATGCCGAATCATCACCATCTTCTTGAATAGATGAATTATTCTCATTATGATTGACAGCAGCTTGAATTTCTTCATCTTCACCACCATCTGGACTTAAACGCTCTGGCATAAATTGATTTGATATAACTGTAGCAACTTCGTTGTCGTCTACTAAAGATGCATTTTTTAAAATTTCACTATCATGTACTGTAATTGGATCATCACCTAATAGTAAAGGAGAGACAAAACTTTCATTACATTCAGGCAGTGAATTTTCTAGGAAATCTGAAACTAATCCAGCGGAATTTAAAACGGGTGTGATAGAACGTGGCTCTGTTTTATTGAGTTTTTTAACAGTAGTTGGTGTACGAATGTCTTGTGGACGGCCATCAGCAAATAATTTACCTCGATTTCCTCCAATTACAACAGATGCACCTATTAAAGTTATGCAATTATTAAATAAAGTTTAAAGCGAAAGTGTTTTTTTCTTTTTACTTTTCCTTACCTAAAATAGGAATTAAATCAGCCAAACACCTTAACGTTTTTGCAACTAAAACATCGTTTGTATCTTTAATACCTAAAAGCAAATTCGGTAATATTTCATTTCTTAACTCTTCTTCTGTCATCAATTGAATATATTCAGTAAAATAATCGAGTAAAATAAGACGAATTTGACTATCACGTACACAAAATATTTTCTTAATACGTGGAATAATGTGATTACTATAAGTTGCACTTGAATAAAGCGATGAAATGTTATTCTCTGACTTTGGTTTCAAAACAAAAGGTGTAACACAGTCTTCTGCAGTACTGTCTAATAAAACCATCCTTGACAGTAATAAATTTCCTATTTGTGTAGCCACCACATTTTCATCAAAATATTTTAATCTAAAATATAAGTTTGAAAAAAAATTATTATATTTAGTACTTTAAATTTTAAATAGAAAATATCAAACCTATCAATTAAATTGGTAAAGAAATCTTGTTTTTCTTGTGGACTTTTTAAAGGCAATTCAGTTAAAAACGAATGAATCAAAATAAATTCGTGATTAAAATATGGATGGAGTAATACAGCGGATAGCTTAGGTCTTAGAGCTACATTTTGATGTTTTAAATGTGCTGCACAATAATCTCGAAACTCTACAACATACGGTGTGTTTGAATTTTTATTTGTTTTGAGAATTTCTTCACACAACGTGGCAAAAGCGTACTGCTCTAACCCATCTGCTGGTTGGTGTTGTGAAAATTTTGATGTTTCGTTGGGATCAATACAAGGTTTATAACGATGTGAATTAGCTAATTCTAATATTGATCTTGTTAAATCTTTCGATTTCCATACATGTTCAAATCCGCCGAGCCGCCATTCTCCTTCAGAGCTAACATAAATGGATGGTATTGATATATTAAGATGTCTAGCTTTTGCTTGTTCAACGAGAAAAATCAAAGCACATAAGATATTGCGTAAACCTAGACATATTTGTATATCAGTTTGAGTTTGGAGTATTGTTGCTAACGGCTGAACACGTTCCGTAGCTAAATGTTGATCCCAAGAGGCTATGTATTTTAAAATAAATGGATGTCTATATATCATCAAATTCTAAAAAGAAAATATTTATGTGATAATAGATAATTTTTTGTAAATTTTATTTACCTTGATAGATCTTTCAATAGGAGTTTGTGTTATCCATAATTGACCCTGGACAACATTTTCACCAATGAATACAGATAATGGTCTATCATCAGTTTGTGCATTAAAAAGGGTCCAACAATCATTTGTTTCAACACATTTTTTGTCAATTTCTAAATGCCTTAAAGTGCTTTTATCGTTTCCCATATTAAAATTGTCTTCAAGAAAAGCTTGTATCATTAAAATTTTAGCTTAATGATATTGTCCTTTAGATTAAGAATGTATTTCAAAAATTTTAATAAAAAAAATATACAGCTTAAAAACAACTGTCACATTCTGTTTCGTTTGTGTATATAATCTATACTCAATACTGTACGTGTACCACTGTACTTATTAGAAGTGAAAAAACCCTTTTGGCACATTTGCCATTATTCTGACTCATTTGAAATTTTAACTAACAGCACTCGCTATGCATTACTCCAAATCGCTATGAGTTACTACAAATCTGAAAAAAATTAATTAATATTTTCAAAATTGTACTTGTTCTATGCAGTTTGACATTAGTCTTAAACATTTTGTATGAGCTATGACACTTAATACATAGTGAGCGGAAATTTTTCATTAAATTATTAATAATTGTATTCAAACTTATACTTCACTACAGCTTTGCAAAGCATGTAAAAATAAATTTTTTATTTATTATTTTTCAATATAAAAGAGATTTGCATATAAAATAACAAAATTTAAAATCGAAAAATATAAAAACTTCAAAAAAAAATTAATAAAAAAATATTTATGTACATTCGTTTGACGTTTCCGTACGTATGTTGAAAAATGGATAAAGTATTTGCTTACTTTGATTTATCGTTTGAATACATAATTCTAACTAAAATTTAAAAAATTTGAACTAAATATTTAAAATATGTCTATAGATATAGATATCCTTAATTCAATTTTAGGTAATTCGAACAAAAATTAGTTAATTCGAATTAAAAAATGATGATTTGTCAAATTTACAAAATGTATGATTTGTAAGAAGAATAAACAACAACACCAAACTGCATAAATTAATAAATAATTTAAAAATCTTCCTATGATTTGTGAGCATTCTACTATGAATATCGTTGCAATAAATGCACATTCTTACCGGGACGCTTAGGGTTGCCTTGAGTGTACTACTCTCGAATAAACAGAGCTACAAAAACTTGGCGAAAGTTTTAGTTGTCAATTGCTAGTGTCAACTAGGAACAGCTTTCTAAAAAGGCAAAAGAAAATATTTATGAAATAAAAAAAAAAATTGTATAGGAAATAAAAATTAAATTTATTATATTAATTAACATAAACATAATTAAAATAGGAGTTCTTCTCACACATTAAGTGGATAATTTTGAATTCTTTATAGAAATTATTCAAGAGTAAAAAAAAAAAAGAAAAAAAATGGATCACAGGAATGGGTGAGTGAGACTTGTGTACACTTAAATATTGAAAGAATGATTTATAAATTAATTGAAGCAAAATTTTTAAATTTATTTAATTTTTCGAATTAATCTTCTTAACTAGGCATTCGTACACAAATTTAAGGAGGAGTCAAAGTAATAATATTCAAAGCTCACAGGATCATGAATGGTTTGTATTGTCAATTTTTTTTTGTATAATATGTTGTATATATACATATATTTATATGTATATTCATATATATTAAAATTACATCGTTAAAAAACTAAATTTTTTACTTTGAAATTTCCTTTGTAGGCCAACACGTCGTAGACAGATTACAACACAGCAAATTAATAATAGAGTAGATCCACAACAACCATTAACACAACATGATGAGTTAATAAAATATATTAAAGATGCTTGGAGCAAGGTTTGTATAACAATGCTATTATATCAATTCATATCCTTTTAAAATAAAGTTTATTTTAGCAATATCTTCATTATGAATAATAGATTTATTAGAGTAATGTAGAAATAAATATCTAATTATATTATATTTTTCAGGTAAATGAACCTGGTCCCCATGGGAAGGGACCGCATGTATATCGAGCAGAATTAATAAGGCCACCAGTTGACTTTCAACCATTTGATTTAGAAGGTTTTTGGGGTCAACGACTTGTTCAGAATATTCATGTTAATTCTTCTGGGCACCAATGAAATTATATTCAACATATTAAAGAAAGAAGAAGAAATAACTGACAATGAATATTTGTTTTTTTTTTTTTAAATATCAATACGCATATTTTGTAATTTATATCGTATATATCGTGTATAATGTAAAGGGAAAAGTATCAATTATTTTCGCTAAGGATTCAATAATACCATAATTAATATCAGAAAATTTTTACAAAATATATTATTATTATTATTATAATTATTACAACGGCTTCTGATCTTTGATATGATATTCCGAACATAAATAATTACTTCTTTTTATTTATTATTTTGTGTAATTTCTGTATGTGAAATTATATTTTGCCTAAGTTACAAAATGTATTTGTCTAAAAATATTTCAAAAGTAGATTTTTTAAGATTTCATTTTATTTTGGAATTGAAAAGAAAGAAAAAAACAAAAATTTCTACGCGTAGTTTTTGATATTTGCTATTTTTTGTCATAAATATCACAAAAAAAAAGAAACAAAAAAAAAAGTAAGTAAAATTCTACATCTTATCAAAATTTCTGTCTTGGTAAAAAATGATTGTTCTTTGTTTTCATATTTCTATATTTTTACTTGTAGAAATCTATTATATATTAAAAAAATATTTTAAATTTATGAGGTTTATTACATAAAGAAAAAAATAGATTAAAATTTTATGAAGTTTTATTGTTGTATAAATTGATAGAATCACTATTAGATTCTAAATTTCATAACATACAATTTTTAAGTTTAAGCTTTATATAAAAATTTTAGTAGTGTGTCTGTAAATTTCTTAATTTTCGACATTTTTTTTTTGCAAAAAAGCGGTCAACTTAAGTTCTAGTTCCCTTTTAGGGTTTAACAAATTGTGCATCACCAAATTTTTCCAAAAATAATTTGAATGATGATTCTATTTCATCCGGAAAACATTTTTTATCTACAGCAATTTTAGCAGCATTTCGACATGCTTTTAAATCATATGCCGGTTTAAAAGATTTGTCTTCACATTTTAAAAGACCTAATTGAATTAAAAAAAATGTTCGAACTCTTGATATTTGATTTGTTTCTTTTGCATAATCGAAAGCATCTTTATATAGAGCAACAGCAATATCTAAAGCTTCTGCAGATTCTGTTGAAACATCTGAGCACTTTAAAACTAAAAATGTCAATCTTATTAAATAATCATCATCTTTGTATTTCTGTAAAAAAAACAAATAAAAAATTTTTTGCTTTATATGTTCATACTAAGTTAAGAAATAATATCGCTATTACCTTCAAATAGTTTCTAAACTCTTCGAGTTTATTTTTTTCTGTTAATGCCATAAACATTTTTGAAGTTGTGTTGCACTCAATAAAATTTTCGATTGTATTCGCTAATTCTTCTTCTTTAATGAATACGACACTGTTGTCGTGTGAAGAATTTTCTTTATTGTTGAATACAGACTAAAAGGTAATGAATTTTTACTATACAATTTAAAAAACATTTTTTAAATATTTACTTTATTACAAAATGCTGCGATATAGTTAACATCACAGTCGTCATCTTCCGATAAAGAAATTGATTCTAAGCCTCTGTAAGAACTAATCTCTGCTGGTTCATTTTTATCTTCCGCTTCTTCTTCTTCTTCATAATCGTCCTCGTTTTCTGCTTCATCTTCATTTTCAGTATCATCAACGCCGTCATCATCACCTTCATCATTTTCCATAGAAGCCAAGCAGTCTAGCTTCCCGTTTCCCTCCATTATTTCTTGAATCGTAATGCATCCCTCTCCTCCAAACTAAACATATAATGATACTTATAATACTCAAAAATCTATAAAATAAAGTATTTTTAATTTACTTGATTGCAATCAAGATTTAAAATTTTTAGGTTTTCTTTATTTCCAACGGCTGAAGCTACAGTTATTCCCCCATTCATTTCAATTTCGTTGGATTCCAACTCGAGAATCTAAAATTATATATCAAAAATATTGTTCTTATGCCATTATTCGACCAAGATACCTATTATCTTACCTCTAAGTCTGCATGTGAATTTTGAATGGCTTCTGCTAGTAGCAGGGCTCCTTTTGTTTTCAGTAAACAATCACCAAAATTGATTTTTCTCAATCTTTATATGTAAAATAACGTCATTTATAAGAATACTGGTATCTACGTTATTAAATTAAAATTCGTTTACTTACTTTTGCATTGATTTGAAAGCACTTGCCAAAGAAACGGCACCTTTTGAAGTGATAGTATTATCATTTAAATCTAAAACTCTCATATTCTCATTTTCTTTAAATCCATCGGACAATGCAGCTATACCTATATGATATATACCATTTTGTGGCATTGCAATTTCTTCTAAAGTTTTTACAGCTGCGAACACTTTTGCAAGTGCCTTAGCCCCTTCATTTTCTAAACGATTTCGTCCAGCAATAAAAACTTTGAGTTTTAACGGTTTACCAGCTTTTACGCTTGATTCGTGACAAGAAAGTAATGCATCTGCCAACATTTTACCTCCTTGGACACCTAATCCACAGTTGTTTAATTTTAATTCTTGTAAACTATAACAAGACGAGCTTTTTATAAAATCTACTAAACCAATCATGCCATTTGGACCTAACGCATTGTCACTACAGTCTAAAACTGTTAAATTTGCGCCCGCTTTTATTATACCACTGCACATTTCTTTAAGTGCTAAAGGTATTTCTGTTTTTAATCTACCAGTAAAGAGATCCTTCCAAAGAGCTTTCTGGAATTCTGGATGTTTTTGAAGTGCTTGACCAATAGCTTTAGCCGCTTCAACACCTAACGTATTCCCTTCTAAATTAAGGAGCGTTAATTTCTGAGATTTATTGATTTCATCGATTACAGGTTGAACTAAAAATATTATAATTTCTTTTCATCAAATATTACATTTTATAAAAATTAAAATAATTTACCAGCCGCTTCGTTTTCCCACTTATTTGATTTCCCTTCAAAACTAACACTGCTTGTAGCCGAATCCAATTCTTCTGCGAGTTTCGTAAAACTAAAATTTTGCAATTCTCCGTCTTTTGAACTCATTATTTAATTATTTTTTTTATGCTGTACAATTATACAATTTTTTTACTTCTGTTTAAATTTGAAACTAATTACAACCACTTTTAACTTCTAAATAATTCCTTTACTATATGCTTACTATGTAGTAAAATTGTTTAATGCAACAAACAACTAACAACAAACGGAATAGCAGACGCGATTTTGCCGGTTAAATGTCAGAAGAAATGTCAACCTTGACAACTAGAAAAAATCAATGTTTCTGGAATACATTAGTTAAGGCGATGTTAGATTTTGCCATGTTTACAAAAGAGGAACTACCTAAATTTATTTTGTTCAATTCAATCAATATGAAACTGGATAATACGAATGCAATTTTTTTGTGGAATGTAGCCTGGATTTTGTAGCCTCATACTAAACCTACCTTAAATTGTAAAATTTTATTTTCGAATGTACATAACGTATGTATGTTTATATTTTAAATGTAAACCATATACATATTCTTGTTTATGATTTGTCAATAAGGCCGTAGTAGATTAGCTACCTGAATATCTGATAGAAACGACGAAAACATACATGTTCTGTTTAAAAAACCTCTATTTCTGAAACTTCAATTTAAATTGAAATTTTATTTCAGAAACTTCAATTAAATTTTTGGAAGAGGAGAAAGAGTATGATTGAAAATTTATTGAATTTCACATTGAAATTGTTTGTGTTAAATTTTGTGTTAGATTTAAATATAATGTAGTAGGTAATTCAGTTTACCTTTAAATATTTTCAGAATTTTTATACAATACATATTTGAAGGTGGCCAAAAAAAAGAATTTTTCATAAATATTCACTATTGTAAACGTAGTCTTTTAATCATCTCCCTATTAACTTTTCGGTATAGAAACGTTGGATTTTCGTTATGTTTCCGGTTGTCAGCTGTCAAACTAACCTGTCCTTTTCCTTTTTGACCCGTTCGGAGTATAATTCGTATAAATTTCGCGGGTGGAAATTTTAAAAATTTTCCCTTAAAATGGTAAAATAACAAAAATATTTTTGGCAATCAATTAATACATTTAAAATCTGTTATATTATATGTAAAAATAGTTAATCTTTATTATAGATGAATGAAAATTTTAATGATTTAAAAATGTTTGCATGACTAAAAGTTGTTTTGTTTTAGGGTTTTGTAAAAGTTGTTAAGAACAAGCAATATTTCAAGCGTTACCAAGTTAAATTCAAGAGGCGACGTGAAGGTAAAACCGATTACTATGCAAGAAAACGTCTTATCTTCCAAGACAAAAATAAATATAATACACCAAAATATCGTCTTATTGTCCGTTTAAGCAACAAGGATATTACGTGTCAAATAGCCTATGCACGTATCGAAGGTGATAAAATAGTTTGTGCAGCTTACTCGCATGAATTACCAAAATATGGTATTAAGGTATATATAATAAAATTGATTTTATGAATGATTTTTTTTTTAATGAAATCATTGACTTTTTTTTTTAGGTTGGATTAACTAATTATGCAGCTGCCTACTGTACTGGTTTATTAGTAGCCAGACGTATTCTTCACAAGTTGGGTTTGGACTCTTTATATGCTGGATGTACTGAAGTTACTGGTGAAGAATACAATGTTGAGCCATTAGATCAAGGTCCAGGTGCATTCCGTTGCTATTTGGATGTAGGTTTAAGCCGAACCACAACTGGAGCTCGTGTATTTGGTGCAATGAAAGGTGCCGTTGATGGTGGTTTAAATATACCACATTCTGTTAAAAGATTCCCAGGTTATTCAGCTGAAACAAAAAGTTTTAATGCTGAAGTTCATAGAGCTCATATTTTTGGTCAACATGTCGCTGATTATATGAGAACTTTAGAAGAAGAAGATAAGGATGCATTCAAGAAACAATTCAGCAAATACATTGCTTTAGGAATTCGTGCAGATGATGTAAGAAAAATACGTAATATCTTTAAGACTTTCTATCTAGATTTGACAATTAGTATTTAAGATCTGAAAAGATTTGTGTTAAAGCATACATAGTGTAACTTGTTACTTGCAGAAACGAACATTTCTATAGCACTAATAACATTTCAGTTTTATAAAGTTTCAATTAATCTTCCTAAAAATATTAAAAATACGTCCATTTAAAAATTACCGTAGATGAATTTATTAATAGCTCTACTGTGCCAAAAGTGGACTACAAAAAATAATGTGATTTTTTGTTCGATTGTTTATGCAAAAAAAGTGTATACACGATCCTGTTAAAACCATACATTAAAATTTTTAAATTGTTCGAAATTCTTAATAGTTATACCTAAAAATGTTATACAACAATTAATAACTTTTATGCATATTGCATATCTATATTATAACAAGTGTTTTTCTCTTTTTTTAGCTTGAAGAAGTTTATAAAAAAGCTCATGCATCAATCCGTAGTGATCCAACTCATAAGAAGGTTCAAAAATCCGGAATAACTAAGAAGAGATGGTCAGCTAAGAAGTTGACATTAGAACAACGTAAGAAGAAGGTTGCTGAACATAAAGCAGCATATATAGCTAAACTTCAAACTGAAACTGAGGCATAAATCAACATAAATGTTAATTAAAATAGCCTTGGTTATTGTTTGTTAAAAGAAAATGAAAAAAAAATAAATTCAATTTTACTAAAGCTAATTTTTCAATATTTTTTTAATTTATGTTTTAAGATTTTTTTAGTTATAAATAAATATACATGTATATATGTATTAAAATTTGTATGCATTGATTTTCTTAATTTTTTTTTTGCAATTTGGAAAATGCATCTTCTTCGTGTCCACAATAGCGATTAGATTAATAATTGTTTACTATGCGGAGTGTAAGAAGTTCAAGGGGTTTATTTTATCAGTAAATGAGTTGTTTATTTTTGGAAGATTTATTTTGAAAAAAATAATTATTTGCATACATAGAATGAAAAATAACGTGGAGTTGTCAAAACAAGCAAATGCAATACATGAGGGAAATCAAATTGGAATTAAATTAAAAATGTATTTCACTCTAAATTAATAAAACTAAATACATATATACCGACATGTATGTCTCTTAGGAAAAATAATTATATATTTAATGGAAAAGTAATCCTGATTGTAAATGGGAGCTTTAATTAGTAAAATAAAAATAAACAGGGCATATTAGGGGATTTTCCATGATCCAGGTCTAACTTTTAAGTTTTTTTATTATTTGTTTTACTGCTACTTTTACTAATTAGCCCCTTAAGTGGAAATGGAGAGTGTCGCCCGCAAACATTTTCTGTGCCAAATTCGACATTGACGGGCTATGCCCGCAGCATATTTAAATGTTTCAAAAGCAGTAGTAGTAAATTTAATAAACTTAAAAACAACCGTTATGATATTTATGCATTATCTAGGCTTCCTTGTTCTCTAAAATTCTCTCATTGTAGATAACGGTACTGGGCGTTTTGTAAAAGAAAACAATTTGTAATTTTTCCTTATTCAGTTTGTCAGTGAGTTTTGTAGTAGAGTGCTGTAGTTTTTTAGCAATATATTTTGCTATTTTTGGGAGGTTGTTTTATAAAGTTTATATAACTAAAGATAACAAATAAATAACACAAGATATTAATCTTAGCCGTTTTTATTTATACATATTTAATATATGTAATTCTAAAAAACGAAAGTGATGATGACTGCAATTTGAGTGAACGGTGAATATTGAAAGTGATTTTTTGTTAATTTATATTTTTATAAATATACTCATTAAAGTTAAAATATTTTAGTTTTATTTTCTGATAACACAAGCACAGAGTTGCATTAAAATTAAATAGTCTGAACACGCATGTTTCTTCGAAATTAGATCGTAAGGCAAGGGGTTAGAAGAAGAACATAATAGAAAAATGTTGGATATTGTATTGAAAAATTGCTCGACTATGATATAAATTTGCAAATGTTAATAATCAGTTTCTGCAGATTTTTAAGTATTGGAAAAAAAAAACTTTCAAGGTTTAATTTTAGAATTTTCAGTACATGTCGGAATTATCAGCAAATTCTCGTAAAAGTATGTATTCGCCTTCATTTCTGTATTCAAAATATAAATTATGATTAAATATACATAGCTAGTCCAATTCTGTTTTTATATACCCCTCTATTATGTATATCGGTATCGGCCGATAAACGATAATTTATCGGCAAAATTTTGTGTTTGTATTACCAACATTGTTTATCGGTAAATTTTATCGGAGTCGGGAAAGCTTTTTTTCACTGTATAGAAAACGTATTAGCTGGTATTATGAAAACGATAAATTGTCGGGTTTTCCCCGATTTAAAAGCGGGTACAAATTTTTAAACGACAGATTTTTTTTTTTTTGTAAAATCTTCATTTTATCAAGGAAACTGGTGTAATTGATTGCTTTTTTTAAAATGTAAGCATTTTTTCTAAATTATTTTCTTTCAAAATGTTATTCATATATTTTATTTAGGAGTAAAATCGTAAGCAACAAAAAACAAATTGCGCGGTTAGTAGAAAAAATGGAAGAGGACTTAAACCTGGCAAGGAATGATAATCTGAAATTCTGGATAAACCTAAAAAATGTGTACATATTATATATGTAAATAATAAAATAAAATAGGTACATAAACATACATTTTGTTGTCTAAATCCAATGGATTAGTTGAATCTCTTATATGTCGTCTTTGAATAGCTTGCGTTTCTTCACTTACTACCGTTTCTTCACTTTCAAAATATAATGCACGCGACATTTTCCCGATATATGTATATTTTTATTTTACAAATTTAACAGAAAATAATTTGCTTACAACAACTTTTTAGCACATCAAAACCAAATTCAAAATAGTTTTAAAAATTTTTTGAAAATAACTTTTGAAAGAAAACAAATGTCATTAGAAAAAAAAAAAACTTTTTCTCCAATTTACAAAAACAAAAATTTGTATGAAAAAGCTTCTTTTAATCGGTTGAAATATTTTTATCGGTATCGGTTCATAATACAGAAGAAACTTAAAACCGATTAGAACTGCCGATAATATATCGGCCGATACCGATGTTCATAATAGAGGGGATAAAATGCATTGTTTTTTGCTGGTTGGGATGGTAAAACTAATTTATTAACGTAATAAATTGTCGATACGAAATACAATGCCGCATGTAAATTTAAAACAAAAATTAATTTTGGGAAAAAAATTTCAATTAAATAAAAAAAAATATTTAAATAAAAAGAATATTTTGTTAGTAGGTACTAACCTTACCTTGAGATTGATTTTCACTCATGGAGATCACATTAAAAATATTTATTTTAATTTTGTGCCAGTTGGGGTTGTTTCTATCATCAACTTTTCTTTAAATAAAATGATTTTTCATAAAGTGATTCTGTTTTTTGAGCAAGATTCTTATTTTTATTTATTTTTTTTTTCTCATTTTTTATAACAATTTTTCATACATTTAGTATTTATTTTATAATAATTAACAAGTTTTTTTTTTTTACCTTTTTATTTAAAACTTAGTTTTTTTTTTTATATATTATCCTGGTTTTTCATTTTATATAAAGATTGCATTTTTTTTATATGCGTTTTCATTTCCAAAAATTTTAGTGATTGATTTTTTTTATTTCTATTTTAATGTCTATTATTTTTTGTTTTTAATAATATATTTATATATAATTTTTTTTTATATTAACTATATATACTGTGTATTTGAATTTTTCAGTCATTTCTATTTCAAAAGTTTCTTTTTTTTTTGTTTATTTTTGTGTTGATTATAGATAAATTGTTTTATCTTAATTGTTTATGGTAAAATATTATGGTATTATGGCTATAAAGAAATGCGCTATTAAAATTATTCTCAAAAATTTTATTTTTTAAATCGTGTTTTTTTTCACATTCTTCATTTTTGTAGTTTTCTTTTATGTTATGCAAAAGTAGAACAAATTTCTTTAATTAAAAAAAAATTAAATTATAATTTATATAATATGTATATCTAGTTAAAAATATTATTTTTATAGAAAAAATTTGATGATAACTGAAATAAAGCATAATTAAATAAAATGTAAAAAGGCAGAGATAAGGTTGTGTTTTTTCTTTGAATAAAAATTTTGTGCATATTATTAAAAATTACATAAATGCCATGAATTTAATACATAATGTATTAAAATGAAATTATAACATGAAATTTCATGAAACTATTTTATTGTGATTAAAATTCTTCAATTTAATTTGAAATTGTTCTACTCTTTTTAATTATTATCATCCACCATTATGTTCTGTATTGATTATTAGTTTTTTTTTTTTTTTTATAATATAATATAAACGTTTATAAAATTTTTAATATTCATGCGTTAATTATATGATGTGCTTAAAGTAATATTTACTTCAGTATTCATAGTACAAATAACCTATTACTTTTAATTTGATACAAAAAATCTGGTTTTTATCTTTTTTAATTTTTTTACGTCTGCAATTTCATTTCTGTTTGATTTTGTAATTTTTTCAAAATCGATTTTAATAATCGATTTATTTTGTTTTATACTAATTAATTAACAATATTATAATTAACAAGTCGATTTTAATAATCGATTGGTTTGGTTTTTCGATTGAAAAATTTTTTATCGACGAGAGTGTGATGTGATGTCATATTCGGTTTGTCATTTTTATAAAATGTTAAAAAAAATTTTTCCTTTTTTATTTATTTTTTTCGTTTTTTGTTTTCAAATTTGCTGTAATGCTGATATTAAAAAAATTTTAATATAATTTTTTAATAAACACAATATAATATAATATACACATAAAAGATATAGGTCTGGCTTATTTAATTATCACCTGTATTTTTTAAGAGAGGCATCACTTGATATGGTAGAATATTATTCAAAAAAAAAAAAAAAACTATTTTTGAATTCAAAACCATTTGAAAATAAAATCAATGTTGAAATTTAATGTTATTTTATTCAATTAATAATATTATTAAATGATTACCCATATTGTGTTAGTCACATCAATTGATGTGATGGGTTATTATTCAGAAAAATTTTAAGTTTTTCAGAATAAAATCAATTCCGAAATTTGAAATTCTATACTGAGAACTAAAATACACCTTAAGTGATAGGACTTATAGGATAAAAGTGAATATTTTTACAATATCATGTGATACGTCTTAGAAAATACAGAAGTATTGATTTTACAATAAAAGAAAAAAAAAAATGGGTCAGGCTTTCGTTGAAATTTCTGTATGAATTGTAACATTTGTATAAAATATCGGTTGTCGGTTAAACACTAAAATTGACCATCTATAAAATTGGCATTTTTTAGTTAATTATATAAAATTAAAGTTGTGAATATTTGTTTTATTTAATTAAGAAAATTAAATTCTGATAATTTAACTTATGAAATTCCCACAAAATTTTAATATTTAAGATTAATTAAGTATAGTGAAAAGTAAAATTTTTTAAGTATTTATAATATTTAATTGGCGATCTATGAAAAAGCTCGGTTATTATAGATTGTTAATTTTATTTTTAAGCCGACGCGAATATATTTTTTTTTTTTGCTTTATTTTTTTTTAATAATTTATTCGTGCATTAGTGAATTTAATTCAGCATTTTTAATATTTTTTAATAGCTTACACATATTAGTATAATACATATATATATATATATATATATATATATATATATATATATAAAATTGGTTTCAAAGTTAGGAAGAATTACTGCCAAATATTATTTAAAAATATTGCATACATGTATTTAAGGTAATTTTAAGCGAATATATTCTCTTAAAATTTTTTTTAATATTTTATATTTAAGTATAAAATTTTATTTATTTTATTTTTTTTGTTAAAAAACGGAAGTTGTTTGTTTTTTTTTTATCTTATTATTATTTATGGTTTTTTTTCCATTATAATATATAAAATGTAATCAGAACTGTTGCATTCTCATCATCAGATTATTTGTAATAAAATTTTCAAAAATAATATTTAATTTTTAAATAAGCTTTTTATAATATATTTTTATAAAAATACATACTTCTTTTTTTTGTTATTTATTTTTATTTTTGTTTTTTTTTTTTTTATTATCTAAATGTGAAATGTATTCGCTGATGAATTTTTCTTTTCTATTTAAAAAAATTTTATTTTCGTCTAGTTTCTTGTGTTTTTGAATTTTATATTTTTTTTTAATAATTTCAATAAATTTCTCTGTTACTATATTTTTATTATGAATTTTGAATATTTTTTTTATTTATATTTTATAATACTACATTATTAATGACATAGTTATTACAAAAAATGAATTAACAAATATCAATTGTTTTTTTTCTTTACATATAATTATTTTCCTATTACATACAATTTTATGAGTATGTAATATTTTCAATAAGAAAAAAATGAATATATAATTTTTTCTTTTTAATATTTATAAATATTTCATAAAAGGTAACAAGTAGTTTTTTAAATTATTAAAATAAAAATGTGAAAATTTTTAGACAAAAATAGAAAGAGAGAAAAAAAAAATCAATAACTTTTATTTATAAATTTTCTGACAATTTTTTAATTTTTTATTCCTTAAATTTAAAATAAATTTTGTATTTTTTTTTTTTTTATAAATAAATTTTATAAATATAATATTAGTATGCATATATGTATGTATATAATTATTATTAATTATTCAGTTGGCTTTTTGTCTGATTGTTTTGTTATATATAGGAGATTTTCGATAATTCTAATATGCATTGAAGTTTCTAAATTAAATCTTAAAAGTCTTTTCAGACATACTTACAAATCTGCTGAAATTGAATATTTTACTTTTGCAGATTTTCAATATACTCGAGTAATTCTTCAATATTTTACATTTTTCTATTATGCTCTTCTTCAAATTTATAAAATTTTTGCAATAGTTATAAAAAAAAATTCCTTTAGAATTTTAAACACAACTCTCATTTTTGAACAAGGCTTTGGAAAATTAAGACCTAGTTAGAACTGAATTATCAAAAATTCCCATCCTTTTTTTTTAACACTTAAAATATTTTTTAAGCTTTAATTTTATTTATTTTTAGCCACCATTATAATTTGAAAACGGTGTAAAAATAAAAATTTAAAATTAAAAATGAAATTTATGTATATATCGTTTATGAATTTTTCAATCTAATATTTCAAAATAAATTAAAATAAATTTGATAATTTGTGTAATAATTATTTTGAAATGGTTATTCCATTTAATCATTTCCATTTGAATTTCTATTAAGCATTACATGGCTTGAGTTTTGGATTTGTTGGAAATTTTTTTATATTTTAGAATAAAATTATAATAAAAAAAATTAATAAATTTAAATTAAAAAACAAATGGACGCAATTTAATTTTATTGCACGTTATTATAATTAAAAAAAAATAATTTATCAAAATGTTTTTAAATAAAATTTTTTATATAGTTTAAAATAGCAATAAGCTTGCTCAAGAGCTCGTAATAGATTTAAATGAGCTTTAACTTTTCGTTTAAACTCCCTTAATTCATATTTAATTTTTTATTTTATGATTACAAAAAAATTAAGCTGTTTTTCTGGAACTTAATTGAAATTATTAAAAATGTAAATTTTAAAGAAAAAAGCGTGCAATTGAAATTAAATCTACATTATAAGTTTTAAGCTAGGATTGTTTTCTTTTTCTAGCATTTTAAAAAATCTACTTTGTAAATTTTATTAAGATTTTTATTTTATATAATAGATATAATTCGCTTATTATTATAATTAGTTAGGCTCATAAATTGAAAAGTTTCTTCTAAACAAATTTAAAAAATGTTTTGATAAAAGATTTTTTTTTCATCTATTAAAAATGAAACTATGTTCTTGAACATGGTTTCATTTTTAATTGATGTCATGACACTTTTTTTTTTTGAAAGACGAAGCCGATCAATATTTTAGTTAATAATTTCAGTTAAAAAATTGAAAAAGTTTTTAAAGTTTTTCTTTTTAATTATTATAAATCATAGATTCACAAATATGCGGGTGACAAAATCAGTGTTTGAAGGGGCCAATTGTTATAAATAATAAAATTACAATAATTAAATTAAAATAATTAAATCAAATAGCAAGAATTCTTATAAAAAAAAAAATAGTTTTTTTCTTTTATCCTTGATTTTTATAAATATATATGTATATATATTTTTCCTTATATTAATCCATATATACATACATTTATTAAATTTTCTTTTTAATATAATTAACTTTTTTACTTTAACACTTATTTACTAAAAAAAAAAATAATAATAATAATTACATGAACATTTCTACCATATTTTTATTTATTTTATAAATTGTAATTCTAAAGTTATTTTTTTTTTAATTTCCCTTAAAATTACAAAGTATTTTACTAATTATTATTTTTTAACATTCTTGCACAGAGATTTTTTATTGTAAAATATTTTTTTATACATAAGTTTATTATTTAAATATGGTATAAGTAGTTTTCATTATTTACTCATTATTTCCTTATAAATTTTATAATAATAAAATGTTTCTTAACTGCTTTCATAATTATAGTGTAAATTTATACTAAAATTGAGATTTCCTAATTTTCTTTATTTAATTTACAATTCAATTTATACATTATGCACGCATTTTAAGGTTATAATTTCAATAAAACTTATAAAAATTATTTTAAAATTTGAAATTACTTTATTTTATTAAAAATGTAAAAATATTGCGCGTGCATTTTATTTTTTAAATTAAAAAAAATGCTTTTCTTCGATTAACTTAATAAATTAAAAATAAAATAAATATAAATTAAATTTTTTTTTTACTTATCAATATTTTTATTCAAAAGTTGTTTATTTTTTATTTATTAATTAACTTGCTACATTATTCAAATTGTAAGTTTTGAATTCAATCTTCGAAATTTTTTAATGTGAAAATTTCAAGCCATATTTTTATACATTAAACTTTGTAGTTTCTTGGTACAAAATAAAAAATAATCAAATTTTAATTTGATATAAAATTATTATATTTTTTCTTATATAATAGAATTTACAAGAAATTACACAACTTCTCAACTATTAAATGAGCCAAGTTTAGAAATAATTTTGCAACACAAAATGTTTAAAACTACCATTATGTTTAGGATAGTTTAGTCTGAAAGCAAAAATTTATTACAACAAAAGTGGACCATATTTTCGCCAAATATTTTTTAAAATTTTGAATTTTAAAGAATAACTTTTATTTTTTTTTATAACATATTTTGATAATTTTGTGTGACATATACTTGCTAATTTATTTTATCAAAAACCACACACTATTTTTTAAAATCCTTAAAACGCATTCAATTAAAATATGTTTGTGGCGTTTTTTAATTTATGCTAATGAATTCGAATTAATTTTATTAATTCTATATAATAATGAATTAATTATTTCTTGTTTTTTTTTTTTAAATAAATTTTAATGTATGTATTAAATTTTTTTGAATATATTTTTAAATAAAAAAAACAAAAAAGAAAATAATTTCGATAATTACTTTATGAAATTAATTAATAATATTTTTTTTTACATTATATAAAAATTGCGAAAAAGAAGAAATTATTATTAATTGCAAATATTTCAAAATATCTTAAAAAATATTTTATGGTAGTTAAATTTTTTTTATACAAAAAAGTGTTTTTCTTTATTCTTTCAATTATTCTTCTTCTATTTTTAACAAGTTCTACTTACTTATAAATAGTATAATAAAATTTCTTTCCAATTTGATTTTATATTTAAAATACATACATGCATATAATAATTTGCATATTATTATATAATGATCTTTAATATTAAATAATTTTGTTCTTTTTCTAAATTCTTATTTTTTACTATATATATTTTTGCACTGCACCATTAAATTTGATTCTTTTCAATAAAATTGAAATTATATTCTTATCATCGGGATTGGCATGAACTGCTTGCACTATTCGTTGAAAAACCAGATTGTAAACTTGTCATTGATCCTTTATAATGGGCTGAACTCAAAATTTCATAAAAGAAATGTAATTGTGCTGGTTCCTCACCTGATGTTGTTGTACAATACCAATGTAAAACATAAGTTTCTTTAGCTGCCATAACATGCGATCCCTATAATTTAAACACAAAACAAAAATTTAGATATATTTATATGATATATGAAAATGCTAAAAGGTTAACAAAAGCAAATAACCAATTGAGCCTTTTTTTTTTAATTGAATACATATCAAATAAAACAAATTTTATTTGAAAAGGACTGATTTAAATATTTTTTTATATTAATAATAAAAAATAATTGTCACATACTTGTACACTTTCTTTGTGACGGCATATCGTTGTTGGTTCTTCTCTTGTATAATGGACACCTTCTTCAAAACCACATAATTCAATATAAGATGAATATGAATCTAAAATTTAAAAAAAATCCAATTAGTTTTTATAATTACATAATAAATTTATAACAAATTTCTATTTATTTAAAATACCTTCTTTAGTTCCAAGATCTTCACTTGTCCTATATAATGTAAAATGAACATCACTTCGTAAAATATCAAAATCCCACGTTAAAACTGATTTTGGATCACTATTTTTTATCACAACCTCATGAGTTTGACCATTTTTCAATTCAACACTTTGATATAAATTGTGATGTTCATGTGCGACAGCACCATTTTGAGCTTCTTCTTCACTATTCATCTTATATAAAGTTTTTGGTACAAGACCGCCTTCATGAATTAAGCTCTATAAATGAGTAATGTAAAATTAAATAAAATTAATAAATAACGTATAATTAAATTATTTTTAGTAAATTTGAATATTATACATAATTATAATTTACATTATATTAAATTTAATAAAATAAATGAAGCAATTTAACTTATTGTAAAAAAAAATGACAATAAATTATTTAATAAAAAGCAGGTTCAGTTTGAAACTATAAAAATGAATCAAAAATGTTGATTTCAAAACTACTCAAATTTTTTAAGAGTTGCCGCTAAACAAAAAAAATTGTGCTAATTGGCAAATAAAAATTTCATTTTGTTACTTTTACATGACTATCAAACCAACTAAACTAAACTGAATAACATTTTTTGGTTTTTGAGTAATACTATTGTAAAATGTCAATTATTTTAAAAATAAAATATAAATACAACACAATTAAATTGATGATAATAACATTTTTTTTGCAGTTTTTTAAATTTAATATTTTAAAACAAAAACGTAATTCATATATATTTGTATAAATGTATATGTGTTTGGATTGTGATTAATTGTATGATTGCATGAAAATAGTAAACGATTTAGCAATTATTTTGCTTAATTTAAAACTAAATTATGAGGAAAAATCTTGACATGACAAAAATGTATGTCTGGACACTATTTTTTTATTTATGTGCTAGTAATAATAAATGGTTCACGTGTATTTTCTTAGAAATGACATTGTCAAAATACAAAATTATAAATTGTTGACCTTTATTTTCTTTTTACTTTTTAATGATTGAAGTTGAATTAAAATTAAAATGTGGAATTGAGATATTTATTAATTAAATAGTAAAATTTTTTATCAAATTTAAATTAAAATTTAAATAACCAGATTTTAAATATTAACAATATTTAATTAAAATTCGATTTTTTTTTTTCTAATTTTAGTTTTAATTATTAAGAAATTAATTGACTTAAAATCATTTGTTAATTTTTAAAATCCAATTTATTTAGCTTTAAAAAGTTTTACAATGCAATAAACATAAGTTCGAAACTATTTCTAAATTAGTTTTACATCAACAATACAATAATAATTATTCAAGAAAAACAAAAAAATTAAATAAAGTATTTTTTTTAAAAATTATAAAATTTTAAAAAGAAAGTAATTTAATTAGATAATGAAGTTTTTTTCGTAATAAAACATGCAAAATAAAATCAAAATTAAAAATTGATTTATTAATGGCTCGTTTTTATTTATTTATTTTTTGTTTTAGATATTTTAAAATATTTATCGAATTCATTGACGGTGGATGGTGAACCAAGATATGATGAAAAGTTTTTTATGAAATTTAATCGAAAAGCGAAATTAACATAACTTATATTTTTTTCTTTTAAAACCATTGCTCATGTTGAATTTTTAAAATAAAGCCTTTAAAAAAACTACATTTAGAACTGGTAACTACATATATGTATATTGTAATGTATGTATAATTATATATTAAACAGATGAGAGAAGAATAATCACAATTTTTTATATATGTACATATATATATATAAATGACAAAAGGTTTGTGACGATTGACAAAAGAAAACAAATGCTTTGATCAAGCATTTTATAAAAATTCATAAAAATAGAAGAGCGAATAAAAGTTCGCGGAAGAATGAACAAATCTTAGATTTTTCTATTTTTCGAATTTTAAAATTTATGTAGTTTTAACTATATTAAATTTCAAAAACTGTTTAATATTTCATATTTTATTAATTGGCTAGGTTTAAATCAAAATAAACTAATATTCCTTCTTTTCATCTCAATAATAAATCATTATAAAAAAAATATAAAAGTTAATTCATTTTGAAAAATGAGTTCCACAAAAATGATGTACATTGAAAAATATGAAACACTATTTAAGGTACAATTAAAAACAAAAACTTTCAATTGTAAATATTGCACAGATGATGTACATTGAAAAATATGAAACACTATTTAAGGTACAATTAAAAACAAAAACTTTCAATTGTAAATATTGCACAGAACATAGTTTTTTAATTTTAATTATAAATTTTGATTTTTTAAATACACAATACGACAGTACGGTATAGATTATTCTCTATCAAACACGATCATACTTGCTTTTGACATATGATTTTTTTTAGTATTGACAAGTCTCAGTGATGCTACGATAACTTTAATCCCTACAATATTACTCAATTAAATTTGTGAATTAATATTAAATTTAATTTAGAATTCAAATTTGATTTCAAGTTCAAATTTGAAAATTCTATAGCGTGATTAAGATTTGTGTTTCATTGGAATTTATTCGCTCTTACTTTTTATTTTGAATTTACTATATTTTCAATATTTTTATGAGTGTGTGAAAAGGCCATAATGGTATTTGTAGAATTAACTTCACATGTACATATGTAAACAAAAAAAAAAATAATAAAAATATTTAAGAAAAATATAAAACGAACTACAAGGAATCAAATGAACGAACATTTAAATAAAATAATGCAATTTGTAATTAAGAAAAATAAAAAAAAAATCCAATTTTTGTAATCAATCGGTTCATTTGGAATAAGTGAATTTCAAAATATTATTTGTGGGTAATAATTAATTTTTTTTTTAAATTTGTTTAGTTGAAAAAACTCTCTAATTTTAAAATAAAATAGAAAAAAAATTAGAAATTAACAGGAGAATGTGGAAAGGTAAAAACAATATATATATTTTTGAAACATTTGTTTAATTTTTTTCAGATTTATATATACATATATAGATCCTTACACATTGACATTTGTTTAAATAACAACGTGTGTAGTTTTTCGGCTCGACTTGGTCCACACTTGTTGAAATATTTGCCTGATGAGTTTTGGAATAATTATTTTAGTTATAAGATTTTTTTAGTATTTTGATTATTTTTTTTTAAGACAAACATTTATAAATAGAAGTTTTTTTTGAAGTCATAGCAGTAGAATCATTCATTCACATTTCATAAAATATTGTTTAACAATTTTCATTTTAATTAAAGAAACAAACAAAAAAAAAAGAAATAGAAAACAAATAATCAAATAAATTTTTTAAATTAAAAATATAAATATATTTTGTAATGTAGATTAATTTTGTAATATTTTGTAATGTAGAAAATTTTATTTAATTTTATAAAAAAAAAAAGAAATTATTTATATTTTTACATATACATGTATATATATATATATATATATATATATATATATATATATATAAATATATAAAATAATGTAAACTTGCAATAAAGTTTTAATAATTTTTAAATAAAAATTTATAGATATATCGTAAAATTGATAATGTATATTTAAGAAATTTTTATAAGTATAGATATCAAGGGTTTGTTAATTTGATTTTAAATTGTTGAATTTGAGAAGTCAATTGTGTTGTTCCTAGAAAGCATATAATATTAACTTTTTTTTTATTCATTATAAGTTTCTTTAATTACAATAAAGTAGATTGACGGTTATGTCAAATTTCGTTAGGTACAAATATGACAAATATGACAATTATTTTCAATTTGTCATATTTTCAATTTTAACATAATTCTTATAAAAAATTTCTTTAATAAAATTAAATTAATTTTTTTTTTCCTCTTAATTAAAAATCAAGTTAACAATATTTCAAATTACAATTATAAAAAAAAATCTTTCTTAAGAGATTTCAACAATTCAGTCTAGCAAAAATATTTTTTATGGAAGTGGATTATAAATAAATATTAGTAAAAATATAGCATATCTATATCAATATAACAAAACATTTATGTATTATATTTTATAGCAAAATTACTTTATATTAAATTGTTTTATAATTTATATAAAAAATACTGTATGACAGATTGTCTATTATAATTTCTAATAACTTATTCAAATTATTTTAAAGTTTTGGTTAGACAAAACACAACATATTTAAAATTAATAGTATGAATTCAATTTGAAATAATAAAATTAAATAAAATCATTTGAAATAACTTGTTACAATTCTGTAATAATTATCAATAATTTTTGAAAGCAAAACTTGATTATATTTAAAATAATTCTTTATATAGATTTAATTTTTTTTATTGATCTGGGGTATAATGAATACGCAAGATAGACATTAATTTCTAAATAAATAGAAATTCATATTAATTTATAAAGTAATTGAATTATTGAAATATGTAGACCTTATTTTAATTTTATAATAATTATGGAATTTTTTATATAAAGTAACAAAATAGAAATCAATTAAATTTTTGAAATTTAATAAGTGAATTTTTTTAAGTGAAATTTAAATAAGTGTTTACATAATTAAAAAAAATAATTTCCATAATTTTTTATTAACATTGTTTCTTATTTACATTAATATTTTAATTTATTTTTTATAATTGATTTCTATTCAAAAAGTGCACTCTTATATCACAATTTTGATAATAATAATTTATTTATACATTTCTATTAATTTTAATTTTAATATTCTAACACGTTCACTATAAATTCCTCTAAATTACAAGAAAAAAATTATTATTTACAAAAAAAAAAAATTATAATTTTCCAAATCAAATACAAAATTTTAGGTTTTTTTGTCAGTATAAGTGCAGTATACTTATTTCTCAATATTAAAGTACAAAAAAAATAATACTTAATTTTAATAGTTAAAAGGGAATTAAACTTATTTTTGAAGAAAATTTATTTACCTTGCATGGTCCACCCAAAAAGTCTGGTATTTTATCTGATTCAATATATTGTTCCAAACCATCTTTCATATGTAAACAATCAGGGCCACCATAAAATAAAAATTTTGATCTCGTATTTTCATCTAAAACAAAACAGAATTAATTGAAATATATAAAAATTTTTTTTTTCTTAAAATATTAATTAAAATCTATAAATACTTACGTATAAATGCACTAACAATTGTCCATGCAATCGGAAATACTCTTGGTGCCCTTACAACCAGTACTCTACCCATTGTTTCTGGATAATTTTTTTCAACTGTTTCAATAATATTATATAAAGCTTTTACTCCAGGACGCCATAAATGTCTCATTGAAAGACCATCTAAATCAACTAATAATGACCAATTTAATATTGGTTTATTTAATTTTTTTGCAGATTCATTTATTTTTTTGATTCCTTGTTCACAAATATAAATTGACTTAAATGAAAAAGAAGAATAAATTAATCATTTGATTTTCATTTCATTTCGTTAAAATATCATACCAATTTTAGGAGACCATCCTCTCCAACAGCCTTTAATAAACCTTTAACATCCATATGACCCAATCTTAATATATAAAGTGGACGACCATCAATATCACGATGATGCCATCCACCTGGAAAATGATTTACCACAACCGAAGGTATTGTATATTCATTTAATATTGAATCAACATTATTCTCTTTACGCCATTTTAATGATTCTTCAAGCATATGAAATGATTTTTCAATACTAAAATCTCTTGCACGTAAAAATCTTAATAATGTTTGATAACTTGGTATTTTATCAACAAATTCTAATTCTTCAATTTTTTTTCTTAATTCCAATAATTTTGATTCTTGCATTGGTGTTAAATGTCCTAAAAATTTTGCTATAAAATCACCATCCAATAATATTTCATGTGATTCATGCGAATAATGACGACTAGCAAAATGATGATGATGACTATTATGATGATTATTATGATGATGTTCTGGTGATGATAATTTTATTTGTTGTATATCTTTTGTTATCTCAGTTGTTTCATTATTCTTTTCATCATTATCATTATCAATTTGTTCATTATCACTTATTGGCCATCTTTCAACATGTGTTATACCTTCGTTACGTAATTCCTCAATAAAATATTCAATTATTTCACGACCTTTTAATGTTGTTTGTGTATATTGTTTCATTCCCATTTTTTCCATTGAATGTTCAAAACCAAAAAAATTTTTAATATCTAATGTTGCTGTTTGATCAAAACATGTCCAATCTGGATTATCTGGATGAGCATAATAACGGCAACGTTCAAATATTTCAACACGATTTGAAAATGTTTCATTTGTTGCTTCAATATTTAATGTACGATTTGGCATATCAAGATAATTATCTTGTATAAAAAATACATGATCAACACCAATTACTTTACGTAATATATATGGTGCTTCAACAGCTAATTTACAACGTCGACTTGTATTACGTCTTGCACCATTCTCTAATATTTCGTCTTTAACTATTTCACAATCCAATACGATTGGCATTTGAGGGCATGTTGGAAAACGTCTCTCATAAGCCTAAAATTATCATTAAAAATAGAAAAATATTAATATTAAATTTAAAATAATTAAATTATGAATTATATTTTAAAAGATTAAAGTAAAATTTAATTTATTAGCAAAAAAATTTAAATATCGAAATTTTTGCTAGTGCAAGGACATACTCCATTTTTTTTTCAATAAGGTATCAAATAATGCAATTTTAAATCGAATGTCAATCAATAATTTAAGTGTAATTTTTTTCAATAGAAATTTAATATAGCTATCACAATTTATTATAAAAAAAAAAAAAAAATGAAAAATAAATAAAAAAAAATCGCGTGCTAAAAATATATAATATTATAAAACAATTAAGAAAAACAAGAAATTATTGGAAAAGATAATGTTGGTTTGGACAACTTTGGGTAAGTTAAATAAAATTACTATTAAATTTAATTACTTTCTCGAAATTTTATAATTAAATTTTCAATCAATTCAATTTTACTTATTTTCCAGTAAATTTGCAAATGGTTCAATATTTTTAATTTTGCCAAATATATATGGTTACCAAATACCTAATAAAATATGTACTTGCATTACAACATTATAATTAAATATCGATTAAAATTAAATATCGATTGTGATTAAAATACATTTTAATAAAATCTTGAAATTTGATGTAATGCAGAAGTATTCCGATAGATGGTATATGCGAAACGTTTAATTTATAATACTTTTTCAATTAATATTTTAATAATTATAGAAAAAATAAAATATCAAATGCCGTCAAAATTGATATAGTTTTGTGTGTGTGTACAAATAATAATATACGAGTGCATATATACACGCAAATGAATGTACATATTGTAGGTAGTATAAGTTTAAATTTATTGAAAATGTTAGATGATGATAATAGTACTTTAGGTTAAAAAAAATATTACATTTCAATTAAAAAAATATATGTGTGTATATATATATATATATATATGTAATTTTATATAAATGTAATATGTAAAATTAAAAAAATGACAGTATATGTATGTGCGTATATAAAATATTACTTTTGCAAAAGTGGCGCTACAACGAATTTAAATCGATACTCTCATTTATTATTTAAATTCTGTGGTTTTGAGAAAAAATTTACTAAGTTGAAAGAATAAATTATTTCAAATTATTAAATTCAACTTTAAGATATAATATTTTGAAAAAACTGTATTTTTAAAATTTTAAAGTACCTATTTGAATTTTCGATTTATTGGTTCATTTCATCTGGTGTTCAAATGAGTAATTTAAAATTTATAATTACTCGTAAATTGATTATCGAAGGCAAATTCTGTTTTAATTATGAATTAATTTTTATTTATTAATTGCTTAATTAATTTTTATTTATTTTTCATTTAAGTGTAATTATGTACATACATTTTATCAAAACGAACCGATTTGCGCACAAATATAATTTATAAACACAATTTATGTATAAAATAATAATACTTTCTATACACCTTATACACCTTACGTACATATTGGTATATAAGCAAATTTTATATGGCAACGGCGTTTGAGAATAATGCTCACAATTATTGTGTTCACATGTGTGCAATACACTTATAAAAAATTATGTTTTTAAATTATATAAATAACACTAATCTTAATAATCATCTCAAGTTAAAAAATAAAAATTTTAAACCAAATAACAAAGATATTTTTTTTCCCATTTCTATGCAATTTTATTAAATTTAATTCGTAAATTGCTCTTATATTTTGATTATAAAAATGTTTAAGCAATTTCTTCTTTAATTTTGTTTTTTTTTTTTTCAAATAAAAAGTGAGGGAGGGAGAAAAAAAAGTGTAAATATAACGCTTGGATTAAAAATAAAACACCTTGACGAATTCACACTAATTTTTTTTTTAAATTTTTCTTAAATTATTTATTTAAATTGGTGATTATTTTCTATTTTATTAATGTTTACCTCACTTTATTCCTCTTTTTTTTTCTGTACAAATTTAAACATTTTAAAAGTAAATTAAATCTTTCCTTAATATTATCTTTAATTCAATATTTATTCAAATAATATTATTATGTACATTAAAGCGAAAACAAACTCGTGTATTCGTACTTGTATTGTGTATAGAGAGAGATATTTGAAATGGTACTTGAAATCTGAAAGACAAAAAGTCTAGTTAAACATACTATGTGTTATTGTTGTTATATAACTAATTTGTCTAACTGACATTTGTAGTAATAACATTAGATTGCTCTTTTTTTCATTTAATGATAATCATGGAAAATAATAATTTTCATCATAATTTAAATTAAATGATTTTATCATTTTCAATTGAAATTTACGACTGTTACGTTCAGGTTCTCTATTGTATTTAGAAAATCATAGATGTCGCTACCACAAAATTCATTTCGGAACTACCTATTCAGTTATTTAAACTGAATAATAGCTATAAATCGTTTTTTTTTTTTCAATTTATAGCTGGTTTTCAGAATTGAGATTGGGCAAAGTAAATCTTTAAAATTCATACTAATTTTTTTTTTTTTTTCAAAACTAACATTAAATAATTTTGATTTAATGTGTATATTTTCAAAAATTATAAACATTAGACATGATAGCGAAATTCAGTAAATTTAAGAAGCTGGAAATATTATAACAAATATTGTCATAATCAATTGCTGTCATATAACTCGAAACTGTCATAATCAAAAATTGTGCTATAAAAAAAATTTCTGCATGACAATATCTATGATTTAATAGAATCCTATCGTTTTGCGGAATTTGAATTTGTACTATTATAATTCTATATAATGTATATAATAAAATAAAAATGATGTGATTTAAAAAAAGAATAAGTGTACATGTATTAAGTAATAAAGAAATTTTTTGTTTGACCTACCCAATTGATGTGAGGTGATCGCTTATTTATACATTCTCATGTCACTTTAATTCTTTATTTTATAATCCCATATTTTATATTTAAATAAAATATTTAATATTTTTGAACATATGACAAGCATGTATTTTTAAAATTATTGGCATTTATTGTGTCCAAATTTTTTTTTTTTCATGTGTCTCATTGCAATTTACGTTAGGTTATTTATTTAGAATTTTTATATCTATATGTGGATATATGGCTGTATATATAGATTAATACACACATTATTATGTTAATAAGAATATTATATAAACATTTTAAAATACTTAAATCTAATGAAAATATGTTTTTTTTATGGAATTTTTTATATAATGTCCTTCAATTATTTGAATAGAATCGTTATAAAGACCCATAGAATCTTTTAAAATATGAAAACAAAATTAAATACGTTTTCTTAAAATTGAAAATTGAGTGACTTCCGTATCATAATGCTTAAAATAACTGTCACTTTACTAATTGTTATACACATACACGTAAATTTATTTTTATTGTAAGTCATCATCATTCGAGAATGGCTCGAGTATCGATTGTTTCATTCAAAGAACACTGCTACACTTTTTATTCTAATAGTTTTTATGTTAATAATTGAATTTACATTGTAAAGTTTTCCGTTACAATCTTACCCTTGAAAAATAATAATCTAATATTTGTTGTCATCATTTATATCATACGTTGTAATTGTAATGAGTAGTTATTAATTTAAAGTATATTTATAAATAATGAAGAATAATTCCATATAATTTAATTTAAAATAATTTGTGAATTATAAGTTAAATGCACAAAATAATCAGGGCAGGAATAACCTACACGTAAAATACACCTGGCACTCTAGGGCCGGCTTTCAGATTCAACAATATCATAAACACTTAAAATAACAGCAATGTTTCTAAGAGACATTATTGATTAACAATTATGTTTGCCTCAGCATTTAGAAAATGAAGTAGAAAAGGGAGAATAGAAAAACTATTGTCAGTTGATTAAATACTTCTTGTTCTATAAAACCAAGAATAATCGGAAAATTTATGTTCAATTTAATATCGAACACAAAATTTACTTGCAATATTATTAAAATTTTTTAATAAGTTGTGAATTGTACGCGACATAGGTTTTCCATTAACATTTTCATTAGATTTCAAAATTGTATAGAGATTATCGTCAATTTCAGTAATTTCGTTAGCCTTTGAATTTATAAATCCAGTTCTGGAATGTTATATACATTTAAAATTTTATTACGTATATTAAATAAGTGAATTGCATGAAAGCAATTTATATTTATGACAATTTTAAATTTGCATGAAACTTAAATACATACAGACATACTCACAATTTATAATATAAAATTAAATATTGTATACTTGCTGGGTATATAAATGTATAAATGTATAGTACAAACATTGTGATCATATCACGTAAATTTTTAAAATAAAAAACGTGTTACAATATTCTCTGAATACTGTTACATTAATACTGATTACATTTCAGTATTTATTTATGAATAATAAATTAATTTTACATATTTATTTCTACATTTTGTAAAGTTTTTAATTATATTTTAATTTTTTTTTGTAAAATTAAATTGCAAACAAAGCCCTTTCATTTTGTATAAATGTCAAAAGGAAATATTTTCAAATAAGCAATCACGTGTCTATGTACAACCTATTGTTCTTGAATTTATTTATTTTGATATGGCGTACAAGTGTAATATAAAATATTTGAATTAAAAAATATATTTTCTTACATACATATGTACATGTGCATTAAGATTTGTATAAATAATTAATTTGTAAAAGTAAAAATTTTTAATTTAATAATAAAAGTCTAGGATGAGGTTAATGTACATATGTACAATGTTTCCATTTTAAATACCAAACGAATATACTTAATTTTTTTATAATTTAGAGTTTGAAAAGAAAAGCAGAATTTTACTTAATAAAAATGTAGATAATTAGATATGAAGTGTAAGTGTAAAAAATTCTTTGATCAAAGAAGAATTTTTATAAAGTCTTTCAACAAATTTTTTTAACAAAGAAGTAAGAAATCATTTTGAATCAAATAAAAATATAAAATAATCGAATATTTTTAATTTGGTTTTAAATATT